AGTGAGTTTAGATTTACGCCGCACTCAGCAATAGTCCAGCTATATTGCGGCGGTCTGTAAATAATCTAGCTAAGATGCATAGATTTCACTAACATGAGCGTTCATGTTAGTGAACGCTATGTAGATCTATCTTAGCTATAAATAATCGAGTCTGGACCAGACAATCCAGTGATATACAGCATGCGCATCGATCTGCGCAGTTGGGAACCGATGACATGTGTCAACCAAGTCAGCGAGCCTGACTACCCGATCCCGTTAGTGCCCTCTTACGACAGGCATGGGTTATTGAAGTTCAATATTCTAACCCGGGCCTTCATGGGTATTTTTCCAAACAAGTGTAAACGTGGAGAAAAAACCTAGAGCAAAATACTAGGGTAGTGAGCACCTTGGTTTCAGGTGCAAGTGCGTGAGAACGCTGGGTATCAAGCATAATATAATAATAATAAATGCATATTTACAGTGCGCCTATTCCACATCCTTGGGCATGCTCAAAGCGCTGTGTACAGATAATTTACACGAGAATATTTACAGCCGAGATTATAATATTTAAGTAATATACTGAGAACAGGTTTTAAGTCTGGACTTTAAAAATGTCAATTGTGTCAGAGCTTTTAATATGTGCCTGAACCTTGTCAATCAGAATAAACAAGGCGTGACGCTGCTATAACGTATGTAGAATCTGTCAGTGGTCTTGAATAATACGCGGCCTGCCTTTAGAATCCCCCACCAAATATGCGCAGTGAAATCAAGCATATTTGTATCTTTTTGCTTCAGAACATTGTTCACTTCAAGGCTGTCCCTATTCTTAAAGGGCAAGTGTACACGAAAATTAACCTTTTTGTCTTGCACGTTTTCTTCATAAAAAGTGTTTATCAAGTCGTTTTATATCCAAACCCGTACATAAATCAGAAGTAACTAATTTATTATTTGCGTTATATCAATTCATATTTTCAACATTTACCAAGAGTTCTATGTCCACAATAAAAACACCATGGCTTATGTCCCTTGGAAATGACGTCATTGGTGCCCAAACGATAAACGAATGACGTCGTCAGACCTTATTAGACCCATTTCACGTGGTGCAGGTATAGGTGTGGTTCTTGTGTCTCGATCGCAGGCTACTGTTTTAATCCACCTGTTGCTTGGCCGTCCAGCTGGCTATGTGGTCAGTTCTACACTGTAATGGCGTTGCAGTTTGAAAAGCGTATACATTGTACTAAGAGTGTTACCACGTAACCAAATGGTATAACATATACAACCTGAGTCGATTCGATCTTTCCAACAGTACCTTTTTCATGAAACCTATAAAGCGTATATGCACTACATCTTGCTTGCCATCGGTGAATGTGCGGCATTCTACGTTTGTTACTAAAGTTCTTACATAAATCGTCACGATATGTCACTCCTCTTCCACCTAATTCACTTTTATATCGATAGTACTCTACAGCACGCAGATAAATGCAATTTGCAGTTTTGAACACTGTTTGAAATTCGTTTTTCTATGATAGCATCCGCTGATTGTAGATAAAATTTACTAAAAATTACATGCATCGTAAATCTGCGCCAGTTTTGACACATTACTAAATCACCATTCACTGCGTTTTCGCGTAATTTATGGTAAAATGTCAAATTTTACTGGGAGAATTGAATTTAAAAGAAAAGATGTATCATTGTGATCAGCAGTAGTTTTGTTGTTGTATGATCGAATCACCAATGCTTTCGTTCTGAAACATTATCAATGAACCGAGAATGCGCTGAGAATGTTTTGGAAAATACATAAGCGTCAAAGTGAAGTTTCAGCCATATTACATAGTGTTTATAAAATCCGTCACATGTATGTCGGTTATGTTTAGATCCATAAAATTCAACACCATCTTCCTTACATGAATCCCTGAATTCCTCATACAGTTCAAAATAAACTGACAAATGGACTTTGTCACCAATACGAAGTGTTTCAGTGAAATCTAACGAAATAAATCGAAGATATGAGTTGCAGCTGTGAAAGAATACTTGTTTGAAATGTATACAAAGCCAATCTCAGATTTTACACTGTGTATCCGTTAAGCCTACTTGTTGCATACAATTGCTCATTAGTTTTAGAACATGCATGGGAAAGGTATAAGTAGCAAGCGATAGTTAAATAAAACAGGTGTATGCCAATGATTTTCTAGATTCATCACAACATATTATAGTTTTGAAAGCATGACGCCATAACTGGCGCAAACTCATGCACTGCGATGGCGGTACTTCCCTTAATTTCTGACTATTTCCTTGGTCACAATGAAAACAAAAGAAAATAACAACCAGCAGACTGTCAGAAGTTTGGACTACTTACATGTCACATTTATGCATATCGTTGCTTGAAACAACGAAAATGTCCTTGAAAACTTCGTGTCAGTGAACACGCCCATTTGAAAAAGTCGCCAGCGATAGTGATGTCATCTGGACGTCAACATTGTTATACATATTTGGTATTTTCATTGAGGCGAGGTTATGAATGAAAATACACACGACCAATCCGTCCTGCTGCTTACATTTTCTGTTCTTATGCTTCTTCGTATTTTCGCGAACTATTTTTCACGTGATTAATATCAGTATTATTATCTTTTGATTTGGGACTAGACAGGAGACCAGTTTAAATTCAAGTGGCACCAATTACGTCATAATCAAAGGGCGGTAACTCTGGCCTGTTTAGCTCGGCAAAAAAATACCTCATATTGGCATAACATTTCAGCACTTATTTTGAGGGTTATACTTACGTTGTAAGAAAAATGAGTGTATATTTTCAAACATTGGTATTAACTAATTAAAACAGTTCACTTTGATTCACATAAGAATAAATGTGATTTATTCGTGTACACTTGCCCTTTAACCATGACGTTGCAATATTGTTGTACAAATGTGTTACCATGACGACAGTGGTCAGACTGGCCTGATATTTGTAAGGCTTCAGTGCAGTGTTTCTTTACATCACAGAAATATACAAATTCATTTCATGGGGGACTTTAGGGGACGCTCACGGTGAAATGCTCGCTCTTATTTTTCTCATAGAATAGGAAAGCCACCATTTTGGTTTCTCTACGATTGATTTTAGCTATCCTAAGTTGGTCATGAGCAACTTAGACTTTGAATCTTAACTTTACGATTGACTTAGGTAAGATTGGTTAGTGGAACGGTATGCCGATCGTAACGTCACGCTAAGATTGGGATTTTAGGGGTTTACGATTGGCATAGGGCTAAGATCGGTTAGTGGAACGGCACCCAGGTTACCAGGCTCCCATCCTACAAAGCAAACTTATTGCTCAGATGATAAAATTTCTATTCCGTTATAGCTATCAACTTAGGGTTAAAATAGTCAAACAGTTCAAAAAGACCAATCAAACAGTTCAAAGGTCATGTGACATAAACGACACAATGCAGAAGTGAAGTGATGGGATGGCAATAATTTTGTCCCTTGTACTTTGCCGGAATAATCTAATGTATGTGGTTGAAAAAGGCTATGAAACCAAAATATTGGACATGTGAACCGATGTTCATGACATGAAACGCAACAGGTAACCGAAAAACTTATTTTTTCAATAGAATAAAATAAAGTTTCTCTCCGCTAATTTCACTTGCGAATGATAATAAAATGCTGTGAAATGCAAAGAAATGACGTCTAAATTTGGATGGTGTGTGTGATTATATGCGTGCGCGCGATAGATTCTATACAGAGTCTATGTGTTTTAAGAACATAAAGCTCTTTTTCCTACCATGAACACTGCTAATCCAACATGTATGAATTCCTAAATAATATATTTGAGTATTAATTTGCATCATTTGAACTCATTCATACATAATCAGCAATATATCTGTACTGGATCAAAGATCACATTTGTCAATCTCTTAGTGGGGTATTGGCATCCAACCTGCGATACGATACATCACGATACTAAAAGTTTAGTTTCATGACGATATATTGCCAAGGTATTGTGCACTGAAGCTGCGACACGATACACGCATCCCGATATAAGGGTGGCGATACGATACGTATCCGCGATAGTAAAATCTTTAATTCTAACACCAACTATAAAACACCTTAAGATCAAAATAAAACCTATTTTAAAGTATTTCACAAATTCCCCAGCGTGTTTCAATGTTTATTTGGAAACGAGATAATTAAGTTTATACACGGACTTTGTGAATGTTAATAACATGCGAGAGCTATGTCTGACAGTTTTTGATGCAGGAATTCCCGAGAAAACGTTTACTTATGAAGGGAAAAAAAAGAAAGCATATATTTCAATCATCAAACAAAGTGAGTCTTTTTTCTTGACAGATATCGCGATTCGGCAATATTCAAAGTTAAACATCGATGTATTGTGGCCCATTTGAAGTATCTTATCGGGATATACTTCAATGTAAAACTTTGTATCGATTCACTGTATCGACGGCCCATGGATTGATACATCGATGTGTATCGATCAATCGTCACACCACTACAATCTCTCCCTCTCTATTGTGATACATTAGTTCATTTCTTTATTATAACACATATGTTTGCAAATCAGAAAAAAGCATTAGTAAACATATATTTCTGAGTCTGATTAATGTATAAATGAAACAGCATTACACTTGTTGCCATGCTGACTCTATGGCAGATAAGACAATTGAACTTGTAACAACAGATTTGATGACAGATGGTATGGTGAAGCAGATGTACCTTATCAGTAGATTTAGGCTCAATTTCAAAACTGTTTCCATAGAGACAAGAGAAATTAAAAATATATATGACAAATGAGATATCAAGGGATGCATTCTTCTATGGAACCATATTTCTGTGTAATCTGGACACCTACCTAAACCAGACTTTAATACCCTACCCTATTCAAGACCGGTTTAGGATGGTTAAACTGTTTGTGAACCTTAAACAAAATGATGCCATTTCCCTGCAAGGCAGACAGGTCATGAACACAACTTCCTCTGGAGAGCAAGGTCATGGTGATGAAGTTGGTACTTACAGGTCCTGTTTTGCCTGGTCGTGGTGGTAGCCGGGGCAGCTGGCCTGATGATCCTGGCTTAGCTAAAAGTTGTGCCATCTGTGGAAATAAACACTTAATTAATGGAAATAATCAATTTGTAGTCGAGTCATCCCAAGGATGACACCTTGCCTTGTCTGACGGTGATGTGGATTTGTTTGGGAAGGTTGAAGGTTTGAATCCCACCCATCACAGGATACTGACATTTTACAAAACTCTGCACAACTGCAAGCAATTTCAGTTTACAAAATATGAAAAGACAGAGTGAGGTACAATGTAGTGTGTCTCACAGTCCCCAAACCATATTATTGTCCCTACAGCCCAGCACTCCCTGCAATGCTAAAGCCGTAAATGAAGCAAGTCCAGATCTCTCTCTGGTCTCCCTAGGGTTCCTTTTCAATTGAAATGGGTTTATTTGTTAAAATCAAAATGACATATATATATTCAGAGACTAAACATTAGTCTAGGTACAATGCTGCACTCAACAGTAATCAGGACGGAATGGTGCATGAACTGGTTAGGTCTGTCATTTTCCTGGGGCATGGGGATGGTGGGGTATAAAATCATATTTTACAGCAGGCTCAAAAGGAAAAGCTCGCTAAAGAAAAGTGCTAGTAGTGGTTGTAGTTAGAAGTAAACTTGAAATGCTCATTACAAAATGTTTTTCAATATTTGAGTCTTTTGAGTGCAACAAACGCTGGAGGGTTGTTGAAAGAGAAGCTACAAACCTATAATAGCAAATCTTGTATCCTTAAAACCAAGACATGTGTATGTCATCTTCACATGATACACTGGTGCATCGATGTATCGTTTCACCCTTACATTACAATGCCACTATTACTGTATGTGCTTTATGATTTGCTCATGCTATTGAAATTGAAATCTAGTGGAGGATCAGGGAAAGAAACCTTTCAAAATTTCCCACTAGACTACAGGGCCAACGAGTGGACAGTAATTAGTGGTTCTGTCTGTACTTCACTGGTCCAAAATAACATTTGTAGATTTACATTACCATCAATACAAAATTCACTGGCCACCAGGACCACTGCAAACTTATCATGTAGTGGTTCTGATGAAGTAAGAGCAAAATGAGACTTTGGATACATCCTCTTAAAAATACTATTTCATTACGTTTTGGTCGCTTGCAGTTTTGAATATGTTAGGTTATGACACACAACTTTTATATACCCACAGGAAACCAAGAAGCCCACTAAAAACTAACATTTAGTCCTCACTACTGATGTTTTCATGCAATACCAAAAGTCTGACTCAATGTGTTATTGACTACAATGCCTTTAACATACATATAACGACCCTGACATGTGGCTTATAACCTATTATTCTGGACTTGTAATGACAGAAGATATACATATTTACAGATACTCACTATTCATTTTGGCAAGAGTTCCGCCCGTAACCCCGCTTGAAATGCATTCTATTCCTTAGGATTATTTTGAGGTTTGGGGCTAGAATTTAGGGTTAGATTTTAGGGTTAGGTATAGGCTGTTTATAAAAAAAAACATTGGCGTATATTCTTAGATGTATAATGATTAAACCAAATACGGGGGTTACGGGCGGAAATCTTTCCTTTATTTTTGAGACATTGGCTTTAGAAATAGTACTAGCAAAAGTTGCAAAAACTAGACCTTTGAGTGCCGTTTCATGATAATTTGATATGCACTGACAGTCATTTTGTTTAGCTATCATCAACTGATCTATTGACATATAACATAAATTTGAGTTGGAAGTCAAACAAAGGTGGTATAAATCGGCGTTAATCAAACATGCCACGACTGACACAATCCCGATTGACCTGAACGTTGTAAGTGTTGCCCCGTGTTGACATGTTGGATAACATATGCATAACTACCTGGTTATTTCCTTTTGATGCCATTTGGTCCTGTCAAATGATCAATCAATTAGAAGTTGTCGGTTTAAAAAATTGTATTAAAGGTAATCAGCTGATGAACACACGTAAAATTTATATTGTCGTATGCCGTTTCAGTCACAATGTCACCACGCGCACGGAAACGACCTTGAGAAAAATATTTTCCTACAAACAAATCTGACCTTGACATCAAGACGACATTCAGACCAAGCAGGGAGATAATATTGTACGAATCTGGTAATTTATCTATGAATACTAAGTATCGACGGCTGTAGAGAAATATTTGATATATATAAGGTTGCCTTTTGCTGCGAAAATAGAAATATTACTTTACGCAATGCTTGGTCGCTGTAGGTAAATAGCATTTGAGATATCGTCAAATGTCAGCACGCCTTGCGGCTCTCACTTCACCTGTCAAACATCTTATCTTTGGTGGTATTTATGAATTAAATGGGTCATTGTGGATACAGACATACACTATTTGAAAGGCATTCCCATGTCATTCAGGCTTCCATGCGCCTCTAACGACGAACACATGCACTGAAAAACTCCAAGCGAGTATCATCTGCAAGGTCGAATGGAGGAAAATGTGTTCTGCTGATTATGCGGTGAATCAATCAAACACTGTATCTCTAATTTGCACATGCACGGTACTCAGAGTGACTATGTTCATGGTAACAAATTCACACAATACCTTGCTTATAATATCATGTACAAACACTCTTGAATAGCGACGAGAATTTCTTCATACGCGACCAATGCAGATGGAATCAACGCGGTAGATATCCAGACTCGATTTTTGGTTAATTTGTGGGAAACATGCCAACTTATTTTACAAACAGCAGACATTGACGATATACATCTTAACAAATGCATAAATAACAGTTCAATTATGAAAAACATTGATTGTCACCTTTTCAAGCAGTCAGGGTTAGTCCAACTTCGAATGACAGCCGACAGCAGACAACCGAGTGTCTGCTAACTATGCATTGTTCGGGGCTGAATCGTCCGTGCCAAATATGGCAGGCAAATTTATTCTCGCCCCGAACAAGAATATGTAAAACACGCCTCTTTTTTTCACACACGCTCAATCAAAATACAGAATCGTTTTCACCATGAAGCATGGTCGCACGAACGCTTTTGTTTCAACTGGATTAAAGACTGAGTACTAAAGTAGCAAATTGGTCTCCCGCACCACACCGATATCGAATATACATATATATGGAGGGACTTAACTCTTGAATAATTCAATTTCCATAATTAATTTGCATTAACAACTGAATTGATGAGGGGTGGGATTTTCGGGTTGGGTGTGGCTGAAGACAAACAGGTAAACTTTTGAATCTGTGACGTAAACACACGTGTGTGTGTGTATGTGGTTGGTTGGTTGGTGTCAGGCGTATATTAATCAATATCATATAATGAGTATATCCGTTGAATTCATAATGTAATATTTTGTGCTGCAATGAATCGCAATTTCATTTTTTAAATGTTATCTCCATAATATTATATTCTACCTAAAATGACGTTTATAAACTCCATGAGTTTAGCTCAATATTTTGAGATGACTTCCGTATGTTGCAATCTGTATGCAGACTGCAATCCATTTTTAAATCGAATTAAATTGATACATTTGATGTTTTGTAACTATCAGCTGGTTTAAGAAGGGTAAATCTATTATTAAAAGTATGTCGTTGACATATATTCATAGTGAACATTCCGTTTCAGAGTCTTAACTTTGGTTCTGCACATTCGTTTCATGTCGTTTACGGAATTAAAAACAAACGAACTGCTGGTGTATAATAGCTGGCCATATTCATACATAGTAAGGGGGAACCTAATGTTACGATAACGTGATCCTATCATAATAATCAATATAACAGACATATATACAACAGATGTGATCATTAACAGCAAGGCATTTTCACTGAATATTTATTTGACCTATCAATTGAAACAGTTATACCTTTTTACGTTTTTACTGACATAATTTATGTCTTACTGGTATTAAAAAAGAAAGAATAATGAATATATTTATGGTGCATTTAGTGTGGAGCGGATTTATGACACATCCTGATATAAATGGATGCCATCAGATACATCCTATCAATGATATCAAGTGAAATATCGATACCATTAAATCAGTATGATTATATCAAAAAACGATATCAGTGATCAATATGTCAATAAATAGATTTATGATAATAGCTAGCCAATCGCAGTTATCGTGACACTTATTAATGACATCACCGATAGTATAGACGGACGGTAAACTGTGCCTGCGTCAAGAGGCCATCCTCACCTTACACTCGATATGAATTCAGTCGCTTAGGGCGACAATGGGATATTGAAGCTACATGTATGATTTCTTCACACCGTTGTACCTATTATACATTTATTACCAGTCTACACTGGATCTACAATCTCGATTGCACAGAAACAAAATCAATGTACGTTATGTGCATAATCCACGACGTCAAGTTTGGGAAATAACGGGTAGAGTTGTGGTTACTCCAAAGTCCCGGTTCTATTCCTCTCCCCGACCGCGATATCGATATTACATTGTATTACATTGGTTGTGATTACGCCAAAGTCCCGGTTCTGAGCTATTCGTCATCCTCTCTCTCTCTCTCTCTCTCTCTCTCTCTCTCTCTCTCTCTCTCTCTCTCTCTCTCTCTCTCTCTCTCTCTCTCTCTCTCTCTCTCTCTCTCTCTCTCTCTCTCTCTCTCTCTATTACATTGTAATTCACAGTTTGCAGGACGAGCACCAGTGGTTTAATCAAATGTTGAAACTTTCATACATAAATAAAACAACATCTTTTCAGATCGTAACATAAATCAGGTTAATAAAATCACTTATAAATCATCATAACCCATATCGACAACGTACCTTTCAAAGGTTTCGCCCAGTTTCGCGTTTCACTGTCAACGTAAATATTTCAACATCCACATGTGACGGTATGCAGAGGCTTAACAAGGTCACGTGACGTTATGAGATAGTATGTCACATCGATATAATTCTTTCGGTCTACATTTCACAGAGTATGTTGAACGCGGCTTCATGTGGGTGGATAGATAGGTGAATGAATGAACACTATTTCAGCTTTTATCGTATTCTGTCAACTATCTGGGACAAAACCTCAAAGGGATGCAGGTCACAGTGGTCACAGCGGTCACATACATGAAGTGAAGTGACTCGTGAGTGGGTAGGGGGTCGATGAGTTAGTTGGTCAGTCAGTCAGTTTGTTTCGCTTGTTTGTTGTTTAACGCCACATTCAGCAATATGCCAGCTATATGACTGCCGTCTGTACACAGTCGAGTCTGGACCACACAATCCAGTCATCAACAGCATGAGCATCGATATAGTGAGCTGGTGAGTGAGTGGGTAGGTGGGTAGACGGAAGAGCTAGTTGGTGTCACTTGGTGAGTGAGTGAGTTGGTAGGTGGGTGGAAGAGCTAGTCGGTGAGTGAGTGAATGGGTAGGTGGGTGGAAGAGCTAATTGGTGAGTGAGTGAATGGATAGGTGGCAGGAAGAGCTAGTTGGTGAGTGAGTGAGTGGGTAGGTGAGTGGAAGAACTAGTTGGTGAGTGAGTGAGTGGGTAGGTGAGTGGAAGAACTAGTTGGTGAGTGAGTGGGTAGGTGGGTGGGAGAGCTAGTTGGTGAGTGAGTGAGTGAGTGAGTGGGTTGGTGGAAGAGCTAGTTGGTGAGTGAGTGAATGGATAGGTGGGTGGAAGAGCTAGTTGGTGAGTGGGTAGGTGGGGGGAAGAGCTAGTTGGTGAGTGAGTGAGTGGGTAGGTGAGTGGAAGAACTAGTTGGTGAGTGAGTGGGTAGGTGGGTGGAAGAGCTAGTTGGTGAGTGAGTGGGTAGGTGGGTGGGAGAGCTAGTTGGTGAGTGAGTGAGTGAGTGAGTGGGTTGGTGGAAGAGCTAGTTGGTGAGTGAGTGAATGGATAGGTGGGTGGAAGAGCTAGTTGGTGAGTGGGTAGGTGGGGGGAAGAACTAGTTGGTGAGTGAGTGAGTGGGTAGGTGGGTGGAAGAGCTAGTTGGTGAGTGAGTGGGTAGGTGGGTGGAAGAGCTAGTTGGTGAGTGAGTGAGTGAGTGGGTAGGTGGGTGGAAGAGCTAGTTGGTGAGTGAGTGAGTGAGTGGGTAGGTGGGTGGAAGAGCTAGTTGGTGAGTGAGTAAGTGAGTGAGTGGGTGGGTGGAAGAGCTAGTTGGTGAGTGAGTGAATGGGTAGGTGGGTGGAAGAGCTAGTTGGTGAGTGAGTGAGTGGGTAGGTGGGTGGAAGAGCTAGTTGGTTGGTGAGTGAGGTGGGTGGAAGAGAGTGAGTGAGTGGGTAGGTGGGTGGAAGAGCTAGTTGGTGAATGGGTGAGTGGTTAGGTGGATGGAAGAGCTAGTTGGTGAGTGGGTAGATTGATAAGTGAGTGATTGGCTAAGTGGGTAAATTAGTTGTTGAGTGGATGGGTAGTTGGTGCATGAGTTAGTTGGAGGTGGCGGGTTGGTGCAGCCTAAGTCATTGTCGCGACCCTCGAGGTCGGTCTTAAACGACTCCGGCTAGTGAGTGGTTTAATCCCGTTTTGATCCAAGAATTAGAACCCTCGATCTTAGGATTATGGCACGCTCGAGGGACGCAACCCCCAACAACGAATCACAACTATAAAAGGTCCAAGCCACCCTTAAATCCAAATACCATACCATATCACAACTATGAACAGGTGACACATTCAAGCTGTAACTGAACTACACGCATGACAGTGCAACCATGCATGAACGATCTAAAAAAAAAATCATTTACACTATTAGATATGAACTGAATGCATTGCCACTGTAGCCCCCCGTTCAATATATATCCTCGACGGTTACTATTAATACACATAAATGTCTAGTGTGGAAGAAAATGTTTCTAAAACGACTGATTTACAATACTGAATATTTATTAACACTGTAGAGGTATTCAATATGAGAGTATATATATGTGTATTCTCGCGATTGTTTCCATTAATAAACATCATGAATAAATATATAGTATCGATTATATTGGATAAAATGGCCTTTCCACAAAGCGATCGTAACTAGGTTGGATGGTTGGTTGGTTTGTTGTTTAACGCCGCACTCAGCAATATTCCAGCTATATGTCTGCGGTCTGTAAATGATAGAGT